TGAGAAACATGGTGAGCATTTCCATTCCATCTTGAAATAATATTTTCATTTTCAAGTCTAAACATAGTAACTAGGGTAAAGACTTAGTCTAAACTTAGCGGCTAATAGCCTGCGCTGTTAAATTTGTCATTGAAATAATTCTTTTTTCCCTGTGTGCAAAACTATCGCAGAGTTAAGATGAAACAGTCTTTTGTGAGCAACAAAAGCCATTGCTTTTAGCCATGTAATTTCCAGAAAATAAAGAGGGTAATGCAGCACATATTTTGCTCCTTATTAACAGATGACACCCCCACAATATAGGACCATTTCTGTTAAATGAGTGGTGGAAGATAAGGTTGGCAGAAATTACCTTAGGTTATGGGGTCTATAACCAGGAGCCTCTACAGTTATTTCCAACGGGTCTGAAATCCTTGGGACAAGGATGTGATGTGGTATATATTCTGTCACCCAATATTATATTGGACTGCCAGAAAGGATAAAAGACTTTCTCGATATTCATTCTTTTTTGATATTATTGTCTGAGTCATGCGCTCTCTACAGGTAAGTACAAATTCACAAATAAATCATCCTCAAACATAACGCTTTTGCTCGGAGTTCCTTAAATTTACACACGTTAAAACATTATTATAGAATGGAGATCGGTAGAGTAGAGGAAAGGGAGCTGGAGAGGTAGGAGGGAAGGGAAGGGGAAATAGTGGGGGAGGATATTCACCAAATTATACTGTGTACAAATACGTAATGAATTCCAACATTATGCACACTAATAAACATGGAAAAATTTAATGTAGAAACATAGACACCACTAGGAAGGTAGTGAAGGAGGCCATCTAATTTGTCCTCCTAATTTGTTGTAGTCTCACAATGAAGTCATCACAGCTGGGAGAAACTTTTCTCAGATTGCCTTTACCTCCCATAATAAAAGAGAGTCTCATACTTTTCCTGGGAAACATTTGAATCTTCAGAACTTCTCTAAAGGCATTTGACAAACATGAGTGATAGGTGTTCTGAGGAAGACAATGATAGGCAAAGGTGGATCTGAAGGTCTCAGACTCCTTTTAGGTCTTAGAAGCTTTTAGATGATTTCCAAACTGGCATGGGAGATAGGAAAATCTGTATGGATTCAGATCATCCAGTCCATTTTGGTATTCTCATGCCGCCCTTCCATACCATGTGTGGACACTGAACTCCATATAAAATGAGAAAGAATTCATTATTTCTTAGTTCTACTCATCCTTATTAGTCTTAATTTCCTCACTCTATCATGAAAACCCTCTTTTCTCTCACACATTCTCTCTGAGACAGACCAATGGGCTATCTGGATCTTCCTTTAAAAGTGCTTTAAATCCTTCATAGTTGGTCCCACTGCCTAAAGTTTCACCTTACTCTGGGCAGCCACATCTGTGGACTGGGCAAGGCAGGGGTATTGAAGAGACCCAGACATTTCTACCTGATGTGGTCATGGGAGAAAACCCTCAAGGGCCAGATTTGCTCTAGAGCTCCCTACCAGGTTGACCAAATTTCTTGTTGTGTTTATATTTCAGATTGACTCCTTTCTCTGCTGAATCCTGCATCTTCCTTTTCATTTTCACAAGAGGTGTTTCTTCCTAATGAGCATCCTGTACCCCAGTGCATCCATTTCTGAAAAACTCAACTAGTGACTAACAGCTTATTTCCAGTATCCGTCCTTATTGCACATCTGATTAAACCTCGCTAGAAATTTGCTTAGTTTTGTAAATGGGTCTGGAGGGAAAAAAATTACAGCCATGCCGAATCCCTTTAAATTCACAATCCCCGATCTCAAAAGGGCACTTAGTCCCACTAACTGATTCTACTATACTTTCCGGGTGTGTGCTATTTGTGACTTCCTACATTTTCTATTCCTCTTTTACTCCTAGAATATCAACACCCCTTTTTCTCACTTTACAGTTTGTTGAGAAAGAAAAAAAAATTCATCTGAAAAGGTTCCCTCTTCCCTCTATCAAATTTGTAAGACTATTTACATTCAGACCCATGTTCTGTCCATTCAGTTAGATAAGTTTCTTCATCATTTTCTCAGCCATTTTTCTGTTATCTCATTCTGTCTTGGCTTCCTTAGGACTTGGTTTCTGCATGTGACTCTCTTTTCTTCTACGGGCTTATTCCATCAGAATGACAGGGTAAACTTGCATAGCAAGTGGCAATTCACAGGACAGGCTGAAATTGTCAACTCTGAAGTCAGATCGCCATGGTGTAAGTACTGGCCCCAGTACTTGCCAGGTGAAGCACATTACCCCACCTCTCCACGCCTCATTTTCCTCATCTGTGAAATGGTAAGCATAATACCGTTTACCTCATAGGGATTTTGTGAGGATTTGGAAATAAAATTGGGAGATGTATTTACAAAAGAAAATTGCACATAGTAATGAGAAAATCAATAGTAGAAATATTCTATTTTGTTTTCCTAAACCTCAGAATGTATAGATTATTATTGTTTGCTTCCTAATATTCTGTTATCTCCTCAGTGCACTTGGAATGGGCTTTGTTTCTGACTCCTCTTTGTGTCCTCTTTACAAAGTAGTCAATCCACATAACCAAATCCAATGGTCATTTCCCTGGTACCTTACATGATCTCGAAGCATTGTTTTGATTGGTGACCATGGTAAGGGTATTTTTACTCAAACAATGCTTACTCTTGTTAATATGATACATTACCTAGTTTTCCTTTATTCCTGCTCTGATTCTTTGCACGCTTCTCCTGTTCTATTCCACTTCTAGTGTTTCCCCTATACTTACTACTGGGTTTTACTTTTTCCCTAATTACTTACTCATTTTTCTTGAATGACAGCAGCCATCTTCATGGCTTTGACTTGTATTCTGTTGTCTTCCCAAGTTAAATTTCCTACCCTGGCCTGTCAAACTTACAAACACGTATGTCCTGTCACTTGTTATCTCCACAGAGGTGGTTGAAACAAACTCATCTTCCTCTACTTCAACTCATTTCTCCTCCTGTCTTCTTCATTTTAGCAGATGCTAACACCAAGTTATTTAAGCCTCAAACAAAAGAATCATATTTATTCTCTCCTTTATGTGGCACCTACACCTAATCTGTCCACAATTCTGTTATGCAGCCATGAACAGTATCTTCCTGTGCCTCTCCACCAATTCTATTTAAAATACTAGGTTATCTGTCAAGAATCCTGGAAGGGCCTCCCAACTGGTCTTCATTGCCATGTAAAGAGTCATACAGATTTTAGATGCAAACTGAATCATATCACTCTCCTGCCTAACATCTTCTAATGACTTCTCATCCCAGTGAGAACAACATCTGAACTCCCCACCTTCCTTTCAAAGCCTCCTCTTTATGTTCTTCAGGCATATTATTGTATTTCTCTTTTCCTTGAATATGAAATTCCATTCTCACTTTAAGGCCCTTGTACTTTTCTCTCTGCCTAAAGCACCCACTCTCTAGGTCCTCACAAACTGGCAGTGGCTCATCATTTAATTCCCACCTTAATCATCATCTCTCTCTTGAGGCTTCTTCCCCCAGTCAGCAATGCTGAGGCTCCCCTGCCTCATTTTCAGGGTCAATCCCATCACCCTTTTTATATATTCCTAATGTTTATCATCATCTGAAGTGATTCTATTTACGTTCTATTCATTGTCTATTTTTACTCATTAGAATGTAAGTTTTATTCTAACAGGGTTCTTGTCTGTCTTAGGTGCCAATTTCTCCCCAGCCCGTGGTAAGGTATCAAAAAGGAGTTTTCAAATGATTAAATTCAAGCTCTCCAATGCCTTAGGCCTTATTCTCCTCACAGATCATCTCACCTCCATTTGCTCTATATCATTGCTTCTTTCCATGAATGCTGTTTTTCGTTCTTTCTTTCTTTCCTTTTCTTTTCTTTTTTTTTTTTGTGTGTGTATGTGTGTAAGACTTTTCCTTTGGTGCTTGCCTCCCACTCTGGTGTATAATCTTTGCAATTCACTGGTGAGGAGTTCCCTTTTAACATGGTCATGGGTTGCCTCCATAAGTAAGTCCCCTGTTTTTCCCCAGTTCTGAGACTTTTTCAACAAGAATGTCTTCTTATGTATCTACCACCAAGTTTATTCTTCCCAGAGAAGTAGAGCTGGGCTTGAGGTGATGGGGACAATGTCAAGGGGACATCTCAGGGGCTGCTTCCAGAATGGGGAATGAGCCAGGTAATGTGAGGGCATGCTCTTTGAATCTTAAATTTTAACAGAAACAGTGTTTACCTTTTGAGAGTCTGTGTATTTGTGTTGTTTTAAAAAATAAAACTCTTGTTTGCATAAACATTAAGGCCTCATGTGTGCTTACTCAGTCCAAATGTATTCATTTCAAAGTTCCTGTGACTCAATTTTTTGCAATGTGTCTGGTTTAATCAGTTTTTTTTTTTTTTTTTTTTTTTTTTTTATCCCTGTGACTAGTAGACCTGACAAGAACAACTTAGAAGAGGAAAAGTTTGTTTTGGTTCATGGTTTTAAACCTAAAACCATTCTGGGCCTGAGATAAGGCAGAATATCATGGTGTAAGGGCATGTTAGAGGAAAGCATGTAAGGATTCTATAGCCCAAACAGTTAGCCACTCCAAGAAATGAGGAATTGGGGTGGGGGAGAAAAGAGATATGAGAAAACAGAGAGAGAAAGAGAGAGAGAGAGAACAAACTCTCCAAACTCCACTCACTCACTTACTTTCTAGGGACAAAATATAAACCCCAAAGGCATACTCCTATGACCACCTTCCTCTAGCCACACCATACCTGCCTATAGTTACCATCCAGTTAATCCATATCAGTGGATTAGATCACTGATTAGTTTGGGGCTCATAATCGAATCCTGTCAACACTGAACATTCTTGCACTGTCTAACACATGAGCTCTTAGAAAACACCTTATATCTGAACCATAACAATGTCCTGAAATGGCATTATATGCTATGAAATAGTTTATTTATTCTGAGTGACATTTTAATCATAGATTGTCTAACAGTTCTGTGGCCAACTCAATGATATTTGCTGCTCAAGAGCATTTAGATGGCATTTGTCATTTAAATGAAGATTCGAAGAACTTAAGGGAGGAAAAAATGCTGTCACATGTGTGATCTATTTGTGGGTTTCATTAACCATTAAATCATATCCATGTTCATGGTTAATTATGTGTATAGCATACAGGTTGAGTTCAGGTGCAACATGCTCAATATTTCAGAGAAAATGATTCAACTTGGTTCTCCAAAGAGTTAGAGGTTCAGGATGGCAGTCTTTTCTTTTCCATGGCTTATATTTTTAAGTGTGTCTGAAAGCTTTGTGAGTTACTTGAAGTTTTTTTCTTGCTAAGTATAAACATTAAGACCTCATGTGTGCTTACTCAGTGCTTAGTTGGGGAATACTTTTGTTTTCAACCCTTACTACTTCAGGAACAAAATACTCTTTGCTTCTCCAATGGTGGTCCAGTCACTGTGGTTCTTCCCCTATGGAAAAGCAACCATTTTACCTATTAATCAAATAGGTGGATGTATAATCGATGTGATTCTGCAATCTGTATACAAGGTAAAAATGGGAGTTCATAACCCACTTGAATCTAAAGTATGAAATATGATATGTCCAGAGCTATGTAATTTTTTGAACAACCAATAAAAAAATAGGTAATTAATTTGCCCCATGCTTTTCTTGCAGAAAAGATTAGTTTCTGAAGAAACAGGGAGGCAGGTCATTTGGGAAAATGCTTTCCCAGTTATCATATTAACTGCCAATTGGCTTATGAAGACCCTCACTCCTAACCCCATTGTACTGACCACAACAATATTTTTTATCATAATAAAAAAAAGTTAAAATCAGTGTTTGAGAACCCATGGCATTCCCAGAAATGGGTCATGTATGTTACATGTCTAGTTTCCCTTCATTCTCAAGCAGCCCTATAAGATTCCATAATTATCAACTACTCCTTGCAGACCAGGATCAGAAACATAGAGGGGTTAAGTGAAGTGACCTTGATTCCAACACTGGCAACTTCAGAACCTGGATTCTAATGCAAATGGTGACTCTATAGTCCACACAGTTAGCCACTCCAAGACTCTCTTGAATGGTCTCATTTCTTCTAATGATTCCTTAGGTTCTCCCCTCCTGTAGGACTAAGGCCAGCTTTCTTCAAGTGTCATAAAGAAATTCTTTCCTGTATATTCATTGTGGGCCAAGTTTTCTTTCTCAACAGAGAATCCAGGTAATATTTACTATATAATGCTGATCAGAATAATATGGTAAGTTGGTATTTTGGATCACCATATTGACTGGAAGAGTTTGTTTCAGAAGTTAGGCCCTAAAATCCTACAGGTGGATTC